CTAAACGTCAGCTCTGTTTTCACCCGACGCAACATTACTCGAATATCTTGCAGCAAAATGTAAAACATAAAAAAAAAGAGAGTCACATTTCTGTCGGGATAACGAAAACGTTGGAATCGGGGGAATGCGGATTTTGTTTCGCTATTTCGGAACTCAATGACGCGCTTTCAATTAAACCTGATGAAATCGCTCGAATTCAGTGAAGCTTCCGTTGAATATCTTATTTGTATAATAATTAAACACGGTACTACTCTCCGCGCTGCGTGAATTCGAGGTAATTAGGGGCACCTAACTATTTGTGAAATTCGCGCGATTAAAACAGGTGGATATGCGAATGCTATTTGTTCATTGCACAGAGAATGACAGATTCGAGTCGACACGACTATCGATTTGTGCGGCCACACCGTCTGTATCGGCGATACGAACTCCCGTCGAAGAAGACGCGTGCAAGAGGGCGGCGTAATGAGCAAAACCGGTTCTCAATTTTACAGGTGGGCGATCCGATATGTGCGTCTCGCTACACGCACAACGAAAATCTAAAACACTTCCCCGTCGGACATTCCTTCGGTTGCGAAGTAGGTCGCACCGGAAGAAACGAAAGTACGAAAGCGATTTCCGTATTAGTCACCGGTCGATTATCGTCGCGCCGAGTCTTCGATAATGTTCGCACGGAACTTTCGCGCGGAACGATCCGATCTGAATGAATGAAAAATTGGAGATTACGGTATACGATCGACGGCGAAATATTACCTACGTCGGAAATACGTACCTCGGATTGCGACCCGAGAACGGGGAGTGTATTTTCGGATATCGAGCGTCGAGACTACAAGACATCGCGATGTCGAGTGTAATTGTCTAATATAAAATGTGCGCAGTGTCTGACCTAATTTCGAATGCAACTTCTCTCTTATATACGCGCGCGTGGAAATAGTGCCATTGGCTTGATCGAAAATAGATAGCGCTAGATTTATCGACTCGTCTGTAGTGGCGCAAAGTGACTTAACTTGATTGAAAGGAAGGACCAACTCGAGATTATTCGGCCACCGCGGTGATTATCATATGTGAAGCAGAACAGCTGCGTGTGTGCGTGTGAAGAACGGGAGAGAGGTGGCACAGGAGACTTTATTAGCTCTCTTTCGGCTCTCATCAATGGCTCTTAAAATCCCCGACCACACCTCCGTTAGATTCTTCAACTCGTACCGCTGCACTTTCTCCGATCATTTGTTTCCCAAAAACGTACGTCGCCGATCGTCGGCACACTTTTAACAACGGTCTATTTCGCGACAATGAAGGTCGTACGACGGTAGCCAAATTACTCGAGTCGAAAGCTCAAAAATTCTGCCCAATTTGAAAAAAAAAGAAACCAGTAAAAAGTCGCGAGATACAACGCGTAACTTTTTCTGTTGCATAACACTGTATTATTAGGTTATTTTTGACGCTATAAGTATGTTAAAGCCTAAAAAAGAATATGCCAACAGTCTCTAAAATAGCTGCAAGTTTTGTACTATAAGCATTTTCGAAAAAAAGAAATAAATATTTGAAATTATTTAATATATCTAATTATCTTAATATTCCAGCTTTATTTAATCTTTATTCTTAATTACGAAGTATATGTCAGAAGTAAATATTGAATCACTGATATAGATAAATAATGGGATAAAATAGTTTTCGTTCCTCATCATTTCTTTGCAATGGGTTGGTTTCATTGTAGTTAAAAATTTTTACGGCTCGAGTCGACTCGAAACGTAATGACTCGGTGACGGAAAAGCACCCGATACGCGAGAATAGGTTCTAGTGAAACAATGAACAAAAAGAGCTACGTCATCGCAATCGTCAAGCCTCGTTGCATGCTAGTCGGTGACGTGTACATTCGACAGACGAGAAAAAACATAACAATCAGCTCTTTGAAAACATTTCGGATCTTCGATAGTTGGCAAAACTATCAAAATAGCATACATTAAAAATGTCGTAATATCTGATGAACGTTGTCGATTATTAATGTGCGAGTATTAATTAACGCTGTCGGTTAATTTTTATTAAACTGATATTTGATATGTACCCGTTAATTATTACTAGATTGGTTAATATTTGCTTATCGCACATATTCTATTTGCAGTTGAGTAAATTATATAATCAATACGCTATATATTGGAAATAAAGATTAACGTAAAAAAAAGCAAAAAATATACATATATGTAATCGAGTATGATATAAATCTTAAATTGATTCTTTAAATTAAACCTTCAACATGAGAAAAACTATGTTGCCGTTAATAATCGTTAAAGAACAATGGGCCCTCAAGTTCGACGGAATTTGTGAAATTAATGTAAAATCAGAATTTCAGCTCGAATATTGCAAAATGAGAGCTAAATTTTAACTCGGCGACGAGAAGCTATTATTCTTCTTCGTCGTCGTATAACTTTGCTATCGTTTCAACGAATTATTATTCGGACAGCTCATTAACGAAATCATCAGATTCGTCAAGGCTTACGTGCATACTTATTATTCAGTTATTCAGCCATTATTATTATTCAATTATTCGATAAAAAAGAAAACACAACTATTACCGAAATACATTTGGCGCACAACGCTTGTAGCATTCGTTTCAATCAGCATCGAATTAATTCCTTCTCAGCGAAAAAATTCGATCGGTCTCTTCCCGCAAAATTCTTACGTTTTCAATGATCTCCGATATATCTTGTAGTATGATCTAAGATTAAATTAAAATTCTATTACACAGCTTTCACGGGAAATGAAGTACGGGGTAAAAGTTTGTTATTTATTTCCAGTCCCCACGAGAGGCCCGTGTGGCTCGCGAGAATTTTCTTCTATCCTCTGATCGTTCGTAACGCGCAAACTATCGACGTTCCGAACTTTTCTACGTACAGTGAAATCAACTTGAAATCGTTAAAAAAATAACGTTCCTCCGTTTACCTGTGCAGTTTATTATTACCGCGCAACGTTAGGGGATGTGATGGCTGTGTAACGTTGACAATTCCGCGCGACATGTACGTGAGAGAGGAGCATGTGTAAAATGATCGATTAGTTCAACCCCGCGGCTCTCCACTTGAGCTAATTAATTCCGCTCGTCGTTTGAACACATCGTCGCTTATAAATAGCTCGACTTCGTGATCAATCCCCTCGTCTCGGGTCTCACGAACGTAATTTCGTATTCGGCAGATACGACCGTGTAACGGTCGATCTCGAAGGTCAGCTAATTCGCCCGTAATCTGGATCCGCGCATTGATGAACGTCAGTGGTAACAACGGTTCAGCGCCCCGTCCGATACGTCAGTCTGTCTTCGTTCTACACTGATTCGTGGATTTTCGTCGATTTATCGACGAGATGAGATCTCGACAATATACGTGAACGAACGAACGAACGAACGAACGAACGAACGAACGAACGAACGAACGAACGAACGAACGAACGAACGAACGAACGAACGAACGAACGGAACGAACGAACGAACGAACGAACGAACGAACGAACGAACGAACGAACGAACGAACGAACGAACGAACGAACGAACGAGATTGTCGTGTTATAGAAAGTGCGCGCGATAAATCCGACGTGAATCCGCGAGAGACACGCTTTATTGCAACGCTAAATGCCTCGACAACTGCCTTTCTCTTGATGTGCCCTTTAATGGAACCGCGAATTGCGTGCGGCAAACATCCGTACTTCATTTCCGCGCGGTTCATGCAGCCCGCATTCGCATTTCTGTGCTTGGCGCTCTCAATTCGTGCGCCATGATTTCAGGTTCTCTTTTCTGCGCGATATGTCAATATGCCGTACTCTCGGCATCAACATAACACCAGAATTACAGAGAGCCGCGTTTAACGCGGAATTAAGGATAAAATGACGAAGAGAGGGAAGATGGGATTGTAAATATATCTCGCTTGGCTAAATTTAAAATCAACCTCGAGAGCGATGTAATTCCGTGTGTGCGTATAGTGATATATGAAAGTAGAATATCGAATAAATATTTCATTGCGCAGAATATGCGGTGGTAGCCGTATGGCGCATATACGTCGCGCGCAATGATGAATACAGCAACAACGCTGTAATATAATTTGCCGCGCGTGGAACGTGCAAACAAAAGACCGCCAATTGTATATGCAACGGCCGAGAGAAGTTTATTAACATCGGACCATACATACATGTGCGCTATCGTTCGCGTACGTGACGAAGTAATACGCTGCACTCAATTACGGGAGCGCGCGAGGGCAACGCACCGCGAGAAACGTCTGAAATATAGCGACCGCTGCCGCCGTCGTCACGAAACGAAGTCAGAGATGTAATTTTTGCAGAAGTTCGTTTATTGAAATCCACTTGTGTTGTATAATCATATAGTCTCTTCAGCGACAACTGTACGCATCGCTGTTATACATTTTCGAAAATAAATGTTATCTGTCATTAATTTTGCGAAAAAATACGCCAAAGTATATATTTGCAGTCGCTTCGGCTCGACGTTCAAACGCAATTTCGAGGATTCAGGCAAATATTCCTGAGCGTATATACAGTCTCGAAGATACCGTAGAAAGAAAGACTCTTAGTAATATTTGGAAACAATATTTCCCCTCTATTTCTTCTCTTTTCTTTCGACTTACACCGACATTTCAGAACACCGCAGAAATGCTCTACTTTTGAATAAATTTGAAATTATCAATTACTTAAAATATAAAAACTTTATCCACCAACATGATTGATATGGTATCATCAGTTTGGTCATAGTTTCATATATAATACGATATACGCGTTAAAAATGGAAATACTAACTGATTCATTTAAATAAAATCCAAGTAATTGTCTAAAAGATCTTTTTAAGTGACAAAATAAATGCAATCACATATATGTGTATATGTTATCATAATCTACACATCGTGAACTATTTGTTCTTATTCATTACAGTTATACCTAGAATATGTTTGGATTTGAGAGAGAGAGAGAGAGAGAGAAATATATATTTATAAAATAAATTATTTTATAAAATAAATATATATTTATAAAATAAATTATTTTGAAGCGCAACGCCTCTTCTGTATATTATTGACTGGAGATTATTTAAATGCATAACATGTAATTTTCAATGGCGATTTTCTCTAACGTATATAAACAATAAATACGAAATAAAATCCTAGGCCTAAGTTTAGCGTTATCACATCCGCATGGCGTTCTGATTATTGTGTCTAAAGATTACTGTGTCTAAACATGTCTAAAGATTCTCATTAGCAAAAATAATATATAAGAATATTTGAGAATAAATCACGCAAATTGTGAGATTAAATTGTTGAGATTGAATTTTGCGATGAAATAATAATTTTTCATTTTTGCAACTAAGTACATTAAGAATCATAACAATCTTTGTTTAGATAGACAGCAAGACAATTGACTGCCAAAAAAGTAGCGATTGTAGACAATTTTGAATATTGTGTACTTAATATCGCGGTAATACCATGTTGTTAATATACACGGTCCATCACTGCAGGTTATAATACAAACCATAACAGTAATTCAAACAATTGTGCATTACATTTATAACAATTGATAAACATGGATGTCCAATCTTTTCATGAATTGACAATAAGTCTCTTAAAGATTATATGAAATAAGTACGACACGATTCGCGAAACCCTCAACTATGACTACGAATATAATTTAAGAATTAATTTGAGACGACCCGCGTATCTGATAGATAAATAGTAGTTACATCCTGCTCAATTAAAAACGAAATAAATAAGAAAAAAAATCATATTGCATTAAAAGCAACAAATAATCGACTCACTATTTCAAAAATCAATCGTAAATTATTAGGACGGCTTGATATCTATGTCTTGTTGAATTAAAATGCATTTACAAGTCAGCAAAATTAGATTCAGATTAGATTTGCTCAATTCGTAATAATATAAAACTGATTCATCATTGTATTGAACGACATAATTTGATACGTTATATACTGGATGCCTCTTTATCAGGAATATTATTTAATCTGCCCTTCCAATAGTAACTAGGCGGTCCTGCAGTAAAGCAGTATTTTCGCTCGAGCGGAGTGTCGTTCTCGACGTAATACATAATGTACATATTACACATCTCATCCTGATTCGTTTCACCTATAAAGGTTACTCTATCGCGCGTATTTTTCATCGTGCAACGAGATGCCAATATGTCTCCGTACGTGATTGGAACTTTATTAGTTACCGGATAAAACATCTGAGGCGTTAAAGGATCTCTCTTACCGATTTCGATCCATTTATTGTTTGGCTTTATTACGTAACCTGATACTACTTTACCCAATGAATGAGTATGTGTTCTATAAGCAAATGGATAAATAGTTTTGTTTTCTTTTATGACACACGACGATTCCATATGTTCTATTTTTCTGGCTGGTATAATACCACCTGTCCCTAATAAGATTACACCAGCGAGCTTGTTCAATGGATGAGTCGTGTAATGCAGAAATACGCCAGAGTCGTCTGTACTGCCATCTTTAAAGTGATCAATATGTGCGTAGTGTACCTGCAAGACCAGGTACTGTATGGGAGAGTCACCACCTACTTTAAAGCCTACTCCTTCTGGCAAATCCAATCTTGGAGCATCCCTTGCCCATGCATAGATGATCTGTTATGACAAACAATTTGTTTTCATTCTTATGTATTCATAATAGTTATAAAATATATGATATTATTTTTATCGTTACTTGAGATCCTTGGCTACAAGGAGGTGCAGTGTTATGCTTGTTTATAGATTGTGCCATTTCTCCACAATTCCAAACAGGCATTGAGCTTCCTGGCTTTTTGCAACCGTAGATAAGCATATGATGGGTTGTTCCCATTGTTGCATTTGGTTCAAAACCAATTATATAGTAATTTCTTGTAGGGTCTATCTTGACTGGAGTACACAAATACAGTTCAGGCTATAAAAAAGTAGAACGGGTCATTTTTATTCTATCTAATTACTAATTATAGAAATTGAAATCAAAAGCGCAAGAACAATCTTGCTGTTGGTTCTTCCATCTATGTAATGTTATTGTGAGAAACATATGTTAATGTCATATAGACACTTATACATATTATGTAAAAAATTATAACAATATAAATACTTACCGTGTTTGGCTTTACATTGGGCATAAGAAGAGAGTACTTATCGGCATAACAAGACATAAACTTGAAGAAAATAGTAAAACAACATATCAGCACACATTTTTCCCACATTTTCGAAAGATAATATGGGTAAAGCTACACGTCAAATTCTACTTAGCTGCGTCAAGTTCTACTTAGCCACCTGTCAAATGCTACAGGTCGGTCGATATAACACGTTGACTACAATCGCACCGCGTGACGTAAATAACAAAGAATACGTCAAGGCTTACTTGTGGAGATTTTACGGCGGCAGCGACACCATTAGAGAGCGCGCCAAGCCCCGACAATTTCAAATCATTCGGTTCTTACTGACCGAATTGTTACATATGACCTATTACCTTAATTCCTATTTACGATACATATATTATATATATATATATATATACGTACATGTAAATATAAATAGTACGCAAATATAGATAACTTTATTAAAACATATATCTTAATGACGTAAATTGGATGGTTAGATAAATTGGATAGTTTAACAAATCGTGATATCATTAAAATGCAACTACTTGTGCATTGTTTATTCCAAAGATCATAATAAATAATATTTGTGATGTGTTAATTATGGAATACTATTCCGCATATTTCAAGCAAATGGCACGTTAAAAATTGTAATTGCACAGCAATTAATTGCTTTTAGTTACGATAAAGCGATAAGCTTTTATATACATACATGTATATCTCAGCATCTGCATATTACACGAATATTTCTATGGACGGATAAAAATATGGAATTGAGTTCATGACGATGCTTCCCAAATACCATAAATCTTACCATAAATAATCTTACCATAAATAATACACGATTCGATCACTTAACCATATGCTTCTTACACTGATTGTGTTTCTTACGCGATATCAAAGTTTCTCAAGGTGAAATATAGAGGAATCTCGTGATGAAGAATCTTCGCGAAAAACCGTTACTTCTCGGAAGTTCGAGAGCCGCCATTTAAGAAACACTAACTCACGATAAAATTGACCTGCACATGACTCCCGCAGACACCGCGTCGATGATGTTGACCCGATGCGATGCGATGAGGTTCGCCCAACCGTCGACGTCTCGACGCCGTTTACCTCTTGTTGATGAATATATCACGAATCTGGTCCGTCAGCCACTCGATAGCCGGTTGCAGACCTTCGCCGGTTAACGCGTTCGTTGCACGAATGTGCCATGGCTTGTTCTGTATGCGTTCAAGTCCCAAACCCGCGACTAACTTCACAGTAGTCAAAGAATCGGGCAGGTCCATTTTGTTCGCCAAGAAGAGGATGGGTATTTTGCGTCCTGAAACATTTATCCCACTTTCGTGCTAGTTTTTTGGCACTTGTCAAAATTATAATCGCCTATTTTATTTTAATATTCGGATATTTCAAGGATCTTTGTAATAAACACGAGCAATTGACATCAGTAGTCGTAATGTATCAACGAATCAGAAGCTCAGATTGAGCATTTCAAATTATAACTTTGAAATTGACGAATAGCAGCGCGAGTATGAATCATGCTCGAGTGTGTTCATCATGAGAAATTAACTTCAGATTTGATTGATAACCTGTTCGTAAATATTGGACAAAACATACATTATCAGATTACTTGTTTTCATTATGAATAAAACATTGTCTCATTTCTCTTTCCCCTTTTATTATTCTAAATAAATTTTTTTACCACCATCGCCACATACGAAGTAAACTCTATTTATCACATTGATCATTCAAACGGTGACGTACCTGCTACGTCTGGATGTTGCAAAAGCATGTCCAATTCTTCCTTCACGACAACCAGTCGAAGTTTGTCGCTACTGTCAATTATAAAGATAATTCCATGGCAATCCTTGTAATAATGCTCCCATAATGATCTATGACGATCGTGACCGGACATATCGAACGCAGTGAAATTGACATTTTTAACTGAAACAATAATTTGGACATCTATGAAAGTAAATTTTGATAACACACACAAGATTTATTATTAACACACTAAAAGTAATTAGACATGTCATATAATAATATATCTTTTTTTATAAGAATTATCTTGAGATTAGTGAAAATACTAACACGCCATCTAACAGTACAAGGTTAAAATATAATATGTAGAAATGTGTGAGAACCGCTGACGTGCGACCGTTTGTGACGCGTAGTTTATTTAAGAAGTTTCACAATATTATTGTTAATTAACAATTTCTCTAATCCAGAAAAATGCAATCTTCTTCAAATAACAAGGATGCGAATAACAAAGCAGCAGATAAAACCGCACCATCGACAGAAGGTCAGATATCCTAACCCTGTTGCGTAAACATGTGTACGAAACAATTGATTATTCGTATTTTCAGATAAGAAAAACAAAGAGAAGAAGAGATTGTTGAAAGAAATACAAGAGCTTAGATGTATAATCGAACAGAGCGAATGGAGTATGGAGATGTTGCGATTCAAAGATGCGGAACACTTAATCAAGCCGCCGCAAAATTCAAATATTTCCCATTTAGGCAGAGTGCCAAACGTCGAAGTTCAGTTACAGAACGATTTATACAAATTTGCTGGTCTTCATTGCGCCAAATTTAGACGATCGGAAGTTGTATTTAACTTCTCATCGACTGATGAACATCAAAAGGACAATGCTTACGCGGTACAAATTTTGGTAAAAGATGGAAAAAGCAGTTTAGGAAAATGGGTGATGCCAATGTCGATAGATATGAATCAAATATTAACCAAGATACCAATCGATAAACCAAGTAACTTAACTGCTTTCGCAAAATACTGCAAGCACAACATTAATTGTTATACTACACGACAGCAGCAGTTTTTGTCATTAAAAGTATGCTTGTATACTGTAAACACATAAACATACTAATCAAAATATGTAATAGTAAACTTGTCTCAATAACTAACATGTTTGTTTTAGGAACATACTTTGCACATGAAACATTGTGCTCTATATTCTAATATAGGTTATATGCAAATTAATATAGAATTATATGGTATACACGATAAAGATGAATATATTGACTTGATGGTATATTTATTGTACCATTCTGATGAAGCAAGACCATATCAAATTAAAATTGATACAACATCCAAGAAAGAATTAAGTGATGAAATAAAGCAAAAATGGAAAACATATTTAAAGGAGTTCAAAATATCAGATTTACGAACTGCATTTGATAAAATTTTCGTAAAAAAGAATCCTACATATACATGGACACCAGGAGATGACAGTGAGAGTCCATTGGAAATTAATGTATGATATTTTTATAATGCATAAATTTAAAAAGATAAAACGTCTTTTGATTATAAGTATATTTAATGATTATTATATTTTCAGGACACTAGTAACTCAGATGAAGACTTTTTAGAACAACTGCAATCAAAGCAGAGGTACTCACTAAGAGTTAGGAAAAAACGTAAAATATGGAATAAATGGAGTGCAAAGAAGAAACAAAAAAATATGGAAAATTCTACATCGTCAAAAGACATTAGTGACAATGCTCATTCAAGGGCGGAAGAGTCACGCAGTGAGAGTCCACATCAAACTCCAGTAAATAAAAAGGAGACTAGAAAGAAAGTATCTTCTCTTTCCTTGAAGCAACAGAAACAAATTGATAAAAATCTACTAGAGGCAACCCCAATAAAAGAACCTAAAATTATATTAAAACAGATAAAATTAAATTTCCAAGCTACTCAATCTATGAATTCTGACAAGATAAATAAAGTATTATCGTCACAATCAAAGCCTCACATTAAACTTGGCAGGAAGAATAAAAAAGTAGCTAAATTGATTACTAGTACTCCATTAAGTCGTCGTGTCAATCCTAAGGTCGTGTTATCTACTTTAGAAATAGATAATATTACTGAAATTGGATCTCCATCGGAGAAAGAGGTGGACAACTTAAACAGCTCGAGGAACAGTAGTCGTTTAAAAAATAAAAATTCTCCAAAAGAGAACATCCAAAACACATTAAGAAAAAGTCCTAGATCGGCTAAATTATCGTTAAATACACATACTGTGAAAGGTGTTAAATCCAAAACTAAGAATATGAAAAATTGAGAAATAAAATATAAAATTGTATTTAAATATAATTATGTATAAGATAATAAAACATCTTTTATAAAAACAAATGAATATATAACATACTTTTCTCTCCCTCTCATCTTACTATATTTATGTTACATTTATTTTAGTTCCCACTTGACATATTGTAAATAAAACTGTGCTATAAATTCTGACTATATTTTTATGCGGGTGCAATATACGTGAAAATAATTTTTGAAAGCAGTCGAATTTTCGAGACATTTTTGGCACATTGTCGCTCTTCGTTATTTAACTTACATGCGAATTTCTCGACATTAAACCCGACAGTGGGCACTATGTCTATGCAACGGTCATCCTCGCGTTTGAAATTATTTATGACCGTCGACTTACCACTGTTGTTAAGGCCCACTACTAAAACGTTTACTTCTTTTTTCCTAAGACCTAAGAGATTTGCTAAACGATCGAATAACCCCATTTTCTCTCGTCGCTGTAAGCTCTTTCGCATTTATCGAACATCAATAGCACCGACGAGATGCTCATAGAGACCATCGGTCTTAAGGTTCGCCTTAAGGCGAAGATACAAATGTTCGTATTATCGGTGTAGACGAAATGGAGGATTCACACTGCGTCCGATGTCCGACGTACGACGTCCGACATCCAATAGGAAAATAGCTTTCCAATGGAGAATTGAATTCAAGAGTCATGACATTGCGGCCACTGAGCGCTCAATGAGCTTTTACATTTGATTGATATATTCTTTTAGATTTAAAAATATACACCAATCAGATGCAAGAGCTCACTTAGCGCTCAGTGAGCAGTTGTAGTACTGAATGCACCCATTGAATTCAAGAGAATTGAATTCTCCATTAGAAAGCTATTCTCCTATTGGATGTCGGATGTCGCACGTCGGACATCGGACGCAGTGAGATCCTCCATAACAGTCGGTATTAAGAAGATTTTGCAATACCGTCTCTCATATACGGTAAACGTAAATCGTGAACGTTATTCGTTCAGAAATAACGTCGCGACCAATAGCATTCACGATGAAAACTCCCTATTGTCATGACTCTTGAATTACTTCCAAGTCAAATGGTGGAGGTTAACCAATTAGAGCAATTCTGTTCCGTTGTGTCACAGGTTACGTTCCGATATTCACCGCCAACACTGAAGTACTGAACATTTATAATATATGTGATAAACTATATATTTTCAGTAGTGGCAGTGAATATCGGAACGCAGTCACAGTGAAACAACCGGACGGAATTGCTCTGATGCCCATTTTTACCAACTTTGGTTAACTCAACCGGGTGGTTATTCCAACGGAATTGACCAGTCACATTTGTCGTTAACTAGAATTATTAAGTACGATTGGTCCATTCCGATAGAATAACCAGTCGGTCAAATTAACCAAAGTTAGTAGAAATGGACATGAGTGATTTTCTCTGCTGAACGCAATCAATAGGGGCCTGTTCGTTTTGTCTGCACTGTTGAACTGGTGCATCAAGTTGAAGTGACACAAACGTAGGTTTTCTCACTCCAACTTGTTGCACCAGTTCAGCAGTGCAGACAAAACGAACAGGCCTATTGGGTGCGTTCAGCGGAGAAAACCGCACAGTGAGCGATTAGTGACTATTGGTTCTTACTGTTAGATCCTTACATACAGACCAATAACGTTGACGAATTACTCAACCGTTGTGTAACCGTTGTGTTTTCTGAACGCAGCCACTGAATGCACCCAATTTGTTCTTCTGAGCTATTCTGAACGCAGCCATTGAGTCTGATACATGAATGCATAGGGGATGTGATCATAAAAATTATTGGTACTTGAATTCCACGTGTTCGATCAGTTCAAACTGATTATATTACAGTTGAATATAGTTTAAACTGAAAATGGTATGTCTTAGCATGTATCAGTAATCACGTTATCGTTACATTTAATTTAAGTTAATTTAGGTTAAGATAAACTATATATCTGTACAATAACAATTGCAGCCGAAAGGAAAAACGAAGAGATTTATCGATAAGAAGAATTCTGTGACATTTCATCTGGTACATCGTTCACAAAAAGATCCGTTAATAGCGGATGAAACAGCACCACAGAGAGTACTTGTTCCAGCTGGTGATACACAACCTGCTAAAAGTGAAAAAAAGGCAGCAGACGAGAAGCGCAAAGAGGAACAGCGTAAATTTGGAATCTATTATGATGATGACTATGATTATCTGCAACATGTTAGGGATGTTAAATCACTGTCGGTTGAATGGCAACGTGTTGAGAATACCAATGTTTCCAAAAGCTCTAATAACAAGGATGCTCCAAAAATTAACTTACCATCTTCTGTATTTGCTTCCAATATTGAAGAAAAGGTTGGCATGCTCAACAAAGCAGCACCAATTTCTGGGCCACAGTTGAATCTTGATCCAGATGTGGTTGCAGCAATGGATGATGATTTTGACTATGATGATCCAGAGAATCAATTAGAGGATAATTTTTTTGTATTAGCTAATGCTGGAAGTAGTGATGATGATGGTTTTGATAAAGAATATGGTAAATTTATTAAGATAAAAAAAGTAACATCTCATGTTCATCAAGAAAAATATTCTTTAAAATATTTTATTTGCAGAATATGAATTAAATGAATCAGATAATGAATATGATCAGTCAGATATTTCCTCTGAGGGTCACATGGAATTCTCTGATGAAAAGAATGAAGAAGAAGATGAAGTAGGCAGCTTGAAAGGACCTCTATATACTTTTGAGGATGAGGAGACAAAGTCCCGATTTACAGAATATTCAATGAGCAGTAGTGTGATGAGAAGAAATGAACAACTTACGCTACTAGATGATAAGTTTGAAAAGGTTTGTAGTTTTATTTTTTATCATGTTACGATAGTGTTATTGTTTTTAAATTTTATTCGTCTTTATAATTATATAGATATATGCTGCTTACGATGAAAATGAGATTGGTGCTTTAGATTGTGATGAAATAGAAGGATACATTGCACATGACTCGAACTTTGTGCTACAGTGTGCTGCAGAATATGAGAAGAAACAAAAAGAAGATGTAAGTATAATTGATGCAATGAATATACAGTGAGAAAAATTATTATTGTTATTTTCTTGTACTTACAGACGGAAAATATCGCGGAGCTTATGAAAGATAGAATGAAGATTATGGAGAGAGAAAGTTCAAGTTCAGAAGATGAAGCCGAATTAGAAAAGCTCATCGTTGATGCCCGAAAAAAGGACAAATGGGATTGTGAAAGCATTCTTAGTACATATAGTAATATTTATAATCATCCTAAATTGATTGAGGAACCCAAAGTAAGTCAATCAACAATATTACATACTAAGTAAATATAGGACATAATAAATAATATAGTCGTGAGCTGATTTTGATATTAACCAAAAATATATGTATAAAAATTTTTCCTATTTTTTATATCAAGATTTTATCTGTCTTCTCTTTTTCTTTTAATAGCGTTTACAAAAAATTAAAATTGATCCAAAATCTGGTATTCCAAAAAATGTATTTGGTAATATGTCTGGAAAATTAACGGTTGAAATGTTAAGTCAATTTGATTCTGAGAATAATAAGTTAGAACCGAGAGATATGCAATCTGTAGCAGAAAGTAAGAAATCTGAATTAAGTGAACTAAACATAAGGCCCAAAGGGGAAACTTCCGATGACAGGAAGAAAAGGAAAAAATTATTCAAAGAATATAAAAAAGTATGTAATTTTATTAAATATTTAAATTAACTATATAGTACTTGTGTTTTGCATATTGAATAATTTTTGTACTGTTTTAGGAGAGAATGATAGAACGGAAAACAAACATCGAAACATTTAATGAAGAAAATCACCGAGAGAAAATACAGTTAAATAACAAACTATTTATTCGTCATGGGTACCATGTATTGTAAAGCGCGTAAAGATGTCTCTCGAAATACGATTTTAATTTAGATTTTAATATTATATGTAAAAAAATATATGGATATTGAAAATATTATTTAGGCATATTAATTTTTTGCATTGATATTCATTTGGTGAACTTATAAGATGTATGCACATAGTTGAGTCTATATTCAGAGGAAACGAAAATGTATGTTTCGATTCGATATGCATCTATTTCACATAATCTTGCGAAATTTTATTAAGGTTTTTGATATTACAATAGATAAGATTCAATTAAATTTGCAATCAATAACGTACACACATTTGGCATGCAGGAATATTTTGTGATGTTTAGATGTCCAATGCAAGAGAAGTAAGGTATACCTAATATATATATTTTAACTTGTACTAATAAAATATATCATTGAGTCCTAATTTTTCTATATATTAAAATTGTATATACCAACATATATATATATATAATATAAAATGGAATTCATATTCATGTGTATTTTTCGTCATAAATGTCTAAATCTTTTCACCTATATTTTCTCATACGTTAACTGGGTTAAAATAAATTAGAAAAATGCGTCAAGCAGTGATTTGAATCTGAAATTTATATGATTGAATATAAAGAAGATACAGTTGTTTATTCTCGCAGCGAAAGACAGAAGGGTGACGGAAAAGAGCGGCCACGTGAGAGCACGCGACACGGAGGAAGCGCCGTCACTTCAAGGCGGAGCAGAGGGCGGAAGCTCCAAAGTCATATGATCGATTCGTGATAGCTTGTCGTTTTCCACTCGCTCATCGCTAAGATGGCTAGCCAGACGCAGGGTATTCAGCAGCTTCTGACCGCTGAAAAACGAGCTGCGGAGAAGGTTTCGGACGCTAGGAAACGTGAGTGTACTCGGTGCGCTGTAATATTTCGTTACAAGATACGTTGTGATACGGTGAACATGACGTTCGCTTTGCTGCTCAAACTTCGGGTTGTAACTTTCCGACCGTGACGATAATCCTCGTTGAAATTGATATAAGTGACGAATTTTCGGTATTTCGTGCGAAGCAACATTGCGGAGTGTGTGGACAGTGGATTTTGCAATTTACGATATATGTTGACATACGAAATTATGATGATTTACTATAATACCATTAGCTAACCTGCGCATGATCCATCTGTGTTATCAGCGATTGTCTAAATTTTTTAATAAAATTTTAATATCTGTCGTGATTATTCAACTTTATTTAGGGGAATTTTAATATTTTGCATTAATTTTCTCCAAGATTTTATTTATCATATGTAGATGCTTAGTCTTAATAATTAAATTTCTTTAAAAACTCAAAGATTTGTGTTGATGATAATGAAATAATAAGTTACAGAAGGATTTACTCTAGAGTAAATTAAACAAATATGTGATATTTTGTTTGAAAGAGAATATTGAAAAAATATTTGATATGTACAAAGATTTTTTATGTTTCTTTATAGGTAAAGCACGTCGTCTGAAACAGGCTAAGGAGGAAGCGCAAGATGAAATTGAGAAATATCGACAGGAACGAGAAAAGCAGTTCCGTGAATTTGAAGCCAAAGTGATTACTACTTTCTTTACTTTATAATTATCAAGATCTTGACTCTGTTAGATCTATATCACAATATTCAATTTGATTGATTACCAATTTAATTGTAATTGTATTTATAACATTGTAGCATATGGGTTCAAAAGAGGATGTAGCTGCACGTATTGAGGCAGACACACGAGTTAAGATAGAAGAAATGAATCAGACCGTTGCCATACACAAAAACACGGTAAGCTATTTGCACAAATCTAGTTAGTTGGATTACAGGCAAGTACTCACAAGAAATCATGATATTTATTCCCTGTACAATTTAGGTCATGCTTAAAGTCTTGGACTTGGTGTACAATATCAAGCCGGAATTGCACAATAATTATCGTGTTGAGGTCTAAGTCACGAAGTTGCATCTAATAGCTATAAATATGATATATCTTATAATATATGCTATAAATGTACATTAAATATTACTGTTTACTTATAACATATCGCGATATGTATTTATCGTTGTTATATCGTACGACATGTTATACTTTAACGGAAAAAGTGTGTACGATAGTGTAGCTGTGTAGGCAGTGATGCTCAAACTACTAGAGTTCTTTTGTTTCTGCAATTGCTACACGACAATAAATATATCGTTCATTATTATCCGCTGAGCTTTCACCGACACAGTTTGGATAGTTTGAGAATTGCTGTAGTTGTATCGTATATAACGCGACAAAGAAACAATATAATATGAATGTACAAAACGCAAATTACTGTCTGTCTGTTGTGTCAAGGCCTAGGCACATCAGAACGACAGTGGTGCGCTTGTTAAGATAACAGTTAATGCGAATTAGGGTGGTGGTAACGAATTGTATGTAGTTAAATGTACGTCATTAGATGTCATTCCATGATTCTGTCACATCGAGGATGCGTAACGTAACATGATTGTCTACAACCTTTCGTGGTTCACGGACAAGCTCCCAGTCGACGGTGGACCACGCGACGATGTAGCAACATTACAGTTTTCTCTTTATCGCAGTTGTTTAAAGTCCATTGGTCATATAAAGTCCTAGAAAACCGGTTAAAGATCCCACGAAAAGCGCTTCGCCTTATATGTATAACCTGTTTCTGTAAGCTGGTTGGTTGTCTGTACAGTATTAGTGTTCAAAATACAAAATACAAAAAGGAAGAAAAATCCCATAGGGCAATACAGTTCTCTCGTCCTTATCCTCTTAAAGCTACTGTGTGTGCACTGAAAAAATTGCTGTATTGATCCCAAACAATATTCTTAAACCATCAGATTACAATACAAACATCAAACCGTGTTAGATTAATAAGGCAAATATCGATTAACCAGAAGTTAACAAACGTACGTAGAGAAAATATTACTCTTTACGATTAAACTCGAAGTATGTTTCAAAATTAAGGGAGATTTATATTCTATTATTTATTTGTAACATTGTCCATAATAATATCAAGTAACAAAGAGACCAAAGGGCTCCATTGTATTCATCTACGCCATTGGACGAACTTTATCACGTGTAAGATTATCCGATGCTGTACGTCACTGAGACTCGCGCACGCGCACTCGCGTCGCCGCGGCAGTGGGAATGATCAGCTGTGGCGCGCCTAACCTCTCCTCACTCGCGAGTGTATCGTGCTTCGGAGCGGCGGTTCGTCCTATGTTTACGTGTGTGAGCGTGCGCGAGCGCGCGCGCGCACGATCGTCCGCGTTCTCGTCCGACGTTAGCGGCGGCAACGCCAGCGCCACTCGATAGCAGCCGGAAGGCGATTCGATTACGCGAACTGAGCCGCGGCAGCGCAGCGCAGCGCGAAGAGCTGCTGGTCAGTACGTGTGGCATTCCGCGCCGAGAAATGGAAGCCGACGAGACGCGTTCGGTCAGCACAAGCGTCAGCACGTTGCCGACGTTGCATATAGTCGCACGCGACATCGCAGTGACAGCTGTGCACGTAAGCCACTTTTGAGTTTGTTATGACCAAGAACGTATCACCGGCCACGACCGGTCGCCGACCATCAATCGCGTATCCGGAGAAGAAAAGACCGTCGTCGCCGTCGTTGTCATCGTCGTCATAAACGTGCGCGTCGTGATCGGAGTGTTTTTGGTTCTTCTGTTTCACACGTGAGGAGGAGGGACGCGTCGGCCGACGACGAGGGATTAGGACGCCAGCTTTGAAGGTCACCGAGAAAGGAATCCGGGAAGATGTGGTGCCTCGTCAGCCAAGCTAATTCCGTCATCCTCGAGGTGCAGGTCGACCCGAAGGCCATCGGCCAGGAGTGTCTTGAAAAGGTGAGTTCGTCCTTTCTTTTTTTTGGCTTCGCCGACATTCGTTTGTTGTCTTCGAACCTGTTCGCCTAATGCGATGATCGCGCTCGATGTAAACAACGGATGAAACGGTCGGCCACATTTCACGCTGAGAATGCTGTGCAATTATCTCGTGAATTATCTCGTGTTTTCCACCTCGTTTAACGCCTCGCGGTTGCACTGCTTACGATAGTCATATTGGATAAATAAAACTCTTGAGGTCTGACTCGAAGAAATTTGGTCGAGTTCGTATATTCTGCATATTGCGGCAACTTCAGTTCGTTCTTTATATCGCGCTAACTTCAAACTGCGAAGCAGCTTCGTTTCTTCTCTCACGAAAAATGTTCGACTTTGAACATGTTAATTTTTCTCGGTTTTTCATAGGTTGATGTTTATGAATGATTTTTTTAATTCCTAATTTAATATTTTCGTGTGAGAGCGTGGAATACACGTGATGACACAAGCTATATTAGTAATGAATAAATTAATGTACACATGTAAACAACAACAAATTACACAAGAAGCGTTGCATTTATTTTTAATGTTTCGGAGAACAAAAGTTCGAATTTTAATCTCGAATAACAGTAATTGAGAAATTTGTTTTTTTTTTAATATTGCCGTTTAATATTGCCGTTTAATATTGTCTCGTGTGTTTTTATGTTACTAAAGTCACAAATAGCTAATGTTTATTCAAAGAAACCGATATACCTTAGCCGAACAATTTCCTGTCCTTCGCGATCATGAGAATGATTCATCGCTTAAACTCCTCGCTCGCTCGGAGAACTCCCTGCGTGATTCAGGTTTGTTCGTGCTGCAAGTCGAACGTAACGATGCATCCTCGCGATATGCAAAGTACACTACATTTTTTGCTTGCCGAGCGCAGCATCTGCGACTTTGTGCGGAAACGCGCGAGGTGACAGGCGTGAAAAGATAATTCGCGCCTCCGACGTCAGAGCTGCGATTTTCAATTTGCGCAAAAAAAATGAAAAAAAAAGGAAAGGCGATTCGATACCGTGAAGGACGCAGACGTGAGATATAAATCACAAGTTTCCGTGTATCATCTTCCGTCGTCGACCGATCGTAAAGACGCGAGCTACACTTAGAATCTGCAAATTACCGCTTCTAACGAGCGAACGTGAAATCGCGCTCGATCGTTAATCGTATATTCGCGTCTTTGCAAATGGCTGCGGCGAACGAGCGCTCGAGTGAATCGATCGACGCTCTTTGATACCGATCCGGATCGACGTGCATGTGCACGTGCGGCGATCTATGAAGGAAAGTTCCACGCACCGGCAAAGTTTACCTTTGACGCCGTGGGCGCTCTCAGATTCAGTCCCGTGAAACTTCGTCGTTCTCCGCCCGTCGCGATTCCCAGCTTTCCTCTTCTCAACCCCCTGCAGTCTCGTGCAATTTTAAACTAACGTATCGTATGTTTGCTCGTTTTTACGTTCATTTGAAAGCTTCTTGGGCAACCGGATCCCGACGAACATGACGTCTGACCTGTCGCGGCTGATCGTTTCCAGCGTCCGGGTAGACGCAGTTTTTCACCGACAACAATCCTCCGTGAGTCGTCGAAATGTCTTGGCTTGTCCCTCGTTCTTGTCGGAAAACTCGTCAAAGCGCGATACACCCGGTTTCTGTTTACGTGGATTCTCGACGATGAACTACACATCCGCGAGCGCTTATTATTACGCAGTGTCTTTCTACGTACCTTTGTGTCGCGAATTCGTTCGTCCACAAATTCGTGCGTCACATAACGTGTCATAACGCCTCTCTTGTTTTTATGTCCGACTCGCTGCCGCGCACTTTTTACGCAACCTGATACATATTTAATAGCTACACACATTCGATGAATCTGATCAGCGAGCTAATCAGCATTGCAAAGGACATTGTATATATATATATAGAGAGAGAGAGAGAGAGGGGGGGGGGGAATGATCGTTTTGTGTATCATAAGGATAAAAGACCGCGAGGTGCAGCTCGTTGGCTCGTCGCGGAAGTGTTCTGTTTTACACTCGGACTTTAATGGGTTAATGTGTTTCGTGTCGGACAAGTTGCGAACGTGCCTCGGTCTAGGCCGTAGCTCACGTGCGCAACAGATGCCGCGAAAACACACGGGCGGCGTGATCTGAAATTTCAAGGCGAAGTCCCATCTTCGGAGAGAGCCGCTCGAAGTATTCGTTTCGTAACCTGATACGTACGAACGAAAAAGAAAGATTCGGTTCGTGCAGCTGATTTTCCGTTGCCCCGCAACGGAGCAAATGATAATTATCATTCTCTGATATAGGGATAGAAATATTCCTGTTTCTATCCCTATCAAGCGCAGCATATGTCGAGACGAATTTTTCTCGTTCGCGATAAACAGAGATGTCTCGTTTCTCCTCACCGAGGTTCATCTGGTCTGTCATACGGATTGAGATTTTTTTTTTTGTATACTGTTTCCTCGGGGAATTCCCTCTAGGGTGGTGAGACCCTCTCGTGTTTCTTTATCCCGTAGTAAACCCGAGGAACAAAAAGTGCTGACCGAAAACTTGCACGTTTCATGTAACAGCGAGCGGTGACTAAATATGAAAAAAATGTTTTGGTCTGGTTCTCTGGTGTCTGGGGACCGAGTGATAAAAATTCAGTCGTAGAACAGAAAGATCTCTCCGGTGACAAAGACGTCGTTTCTGAGTCATGAATTTTCGTCTGGCCTCGGTTCAGCCGCGCTCAGACTGAAATTTTCTCTTTTCGTACAGATTCCCCCTTATTCCACTCACGTAGTCACGTCCGCATTAAATCGCGAATAAGCACTCGCAGGAGCTTCCTGCGATTTTCATACGGCACATGAAGTACGTGAAGTGAAGTTGCGCGTCAAGAGCGCGCTGCTGTTCGTTTTTGGAGATCGTGTTTCTTCCCTAACGGCGTCTTCATAAAAATATCCTTTCGCCTTCGCGCATCTTGAACCGACGACAGTATCGCCCGGGGTGCAGCTCGTTTGGTTTCCATTACAAGCTCCTTACGTCGCCCGACTCGATGCATTATCATTCTTATATGTCGCGTCGTTCTCAGCGATGGGAGTAGGACAGAGAGAGAGAGAGAGAGAGAGAGAGAGAGAGAGAGAGAGAGAGAGAGAGAGAGAGAGAGAGAGAGAGAGAGAGAGAGAGAGAGAGAGAGAGAGAGATGGTAAAGGAGGGTATCGGGACGATCGTATTCAATTTACTTCCGACCTGGACTGACCCCACGAGCATCTCCTCGGCATTCTCCTTTGCCGTGAATCGATTCTCGTCCCTTCCCTCGCGGTATGCTTCCATCTAAAAACGAGACATGCCCGATGCTTCTTAGTACGTCGCAAATGAACCGTAACGACTCGAGAGAGAGAGAGAGAGAGAGAGAGGGGGGGGGGGAGGGAGAGAGAGAGAGAGGAGAGAGGAGAGAGATCCGCGACTCTTTGTAGGCAAACAAAATTATAAACTTATCTCACTGAACATTACGGCAACGATACGGCGGAGATAGCGTCTTTTTAATCTGCTTTTGCTTATCTCTTAATATTTCATATTTGTCATTGTGTGTGTTTGCGTGCGTCTGCGATTCCCTTCTGCGCTCTCGATGCTATTTGTAGAATGATAACCGTAAACTTCGCGAGACTTTGTCCGTGACTTCTCGCGATAATCACGTGCGAGCGCCAGCGAAAGAGACGGATGCTCTTGCCACATTAACGCGATACGGATCGAACATTGTATCATTTGTTTTCACGGCGATGTGTCATTCTCTCCCGGCTGCTCAGCTGCTGCACCACGAGCATTTTATGCCGTTTTGCTCTCCAGTGGCTCAATCGTGTGACCCGGCGCCACGCTATCGCTTCAGATTTGTTGTGCACGCGTCGCTCGCGGTGTGGAACCGGTTATCATTCTCTGCGTCGAAAATAACTCCGAAGGTCGGGATGCACCGAAAATAAATCGATGGTGCTTCGCTGTACGCGGATTCACGCACTACTCGTTCTCTTTCATTCGGAGAATCCCTGCGGGCGCACACCTGCAGGCGGCGCCAGCGCGCCGTTGTAAACACGCTCGACGAAGGCGGATTTGGCCCTAATATCGCCGCAATAATTGCGTTTCCCTCGAGCGTGCCCAATCTGCGATTCGGCTTGCGCGTCGACAATACGTCGATCGACGCGCGCGCGCACGGGGATCGTTAACCCGCGGTTTGTCGTCGTCGTCGTCGTCGTCGTCGCTGCGGCAAACGGATGCGCGACGCCGAACGCGAACGCGAACGCGAAAGGCTGGTCAATTACTTAGCGAAAGCGATCGCGAGCGATTACGGGAGAACAGCCCCGGTCCTTTACTTGCGGCCCGCATCAAACGAAATTGCACGCTGTGCGCCGAAATTCCCGACGTTTGTAACCTTTGAGGGTTTGCATCGCGGCGAACCGACTCGATCGGTGTCCTGCGCAAACAAGAAACATGCCTGGAGAGAACGAGAGCGAGAGAGAGAGAGAGAGATACTCATCGGTGTGTGTTTACCTCTAATATCAATCCGCGCCAAGCCCGCGGTGATTACGATGCGCTCAAGTGGGTCAAATAGCCTCTAACTAGGTCGCAATTTCACTGACCATAGCGTTATTAAGTACCCACCTGCGAGATTCTCGTACACGTTTTTCGCGCATAGTCAGCATAATCGCGCGACTCCGACGCTGACGTTGTTCCGCCGCGGAATAGAACGTGAGCTCAGCTCTGTCTGATTGTCTCCCGTGGCGCGTTATCTAATAATTAGGAGAAGCAGCGCCAAGCGCGTTTCAGACGCTTCTCGGACCGCGCGCTTCCTTTTGGACGTCGCGTCGGGGTGAATCGAGGATCGGCCTCGGACTCTCTTTGTCTCACTGCGGGATACAAATTCTTCACACTTATCTTGGTAGTTTTAATAGACCTCGCTTACCCGGCAAAAATAGGAGTCGGTTTCGCGCTTTCACAGGCGGCGGCGGACTCCCCGAGTTCCGTCTCACTCTT